AAAAAAAAAAAAAAAAAAAAGAATAAAGAGAATGGATACAACCATATGGTGGCCCTTGAAATGCTGTTAAGGTCACTGCTGAGTTGTGAGCTGGCAGAGCAAGGGCTGGAAGCCCTGTCACCAGTACTTTGCTGTCAGCACATGAGAGCAGCTGCAGACAACACGAGTGGGTGGTGTGGTTGTCTTCCAGTGAAGCTGGATGCTGACATCTGAATTTCGTAGTAGTTCCACATGTTGTATAATTCTTTAAGCTTTTTCCCCCCAACTATTTAAAAATGTATAAACTATCTTAATTAATTAATTAATTTCTGTGAGGCACGGCTTGCAGGGTCTCATTTCCCTGACCAGGGATTGGGACTTTATTTATTTTTCATTTTTTTAAGATTTTTTTGATGTGGACCATTTTTAAAGTCTTTATTGAATTTGTCACAGTATTGCTTCTGTTTTGTGTTTTTGGCCACAAGCCATGTGGGATCTTAGCTCCCCGACGAGGGATCAAACCTGCACCCCCTGTGTTAGAAGGCGAAGCCTTAACCACTGGACTGTCAGGGAAGTCTCCCACAAGGGACTGAACCTGGGCCCACGGCCGTGAAAGCCTTAACCACTGGACTGCCCACAGATTCCTAACTACTGGATTGCCAGGGAATTCTCCGTATAAACTATTTTTAGCTCACAGGTTTTATTTTAAAGGGTGGGGTGGATTTGGCCTGTGGGCTGTAGTTTGCTAACCTCTGGTCTACCTCATAGGGTTGTGAGGATTTATGTAGCTTCACATCTAACATCCTTAGGACATGTCTGACCAATAGTGTTTGTTATTGGCTGTTCCTTTCTTTCAAGGGGCTGGCTTTCAAAAGGTATTTGGTGACTCTGGTTGTATGATCCTTTACCCTCCATCTATGGATGTTGTTTTTCTTTTTATCTCCATTTGTTATGGGAGGGGGTGGGGTGTCAGGTTGTGCCATCAGGACACTTCTGGGCAAAGAGGCACTGGCCTTCTTCCCGCATCTAAGTGTCCATGATAACCCACCTTTGTAGCCTTGGTGGTGTCTCCTTGTGGGGTTGTGGTGTGGGTGGTGTGTGGTCTGCTGGTCTCAAGGTAGTAAGTTCTAGCCTGACAGAGAGAAGGAAGCTCTTTTGATAGGATACTAGGGAAGGGATGGCACCAGTGAGTATGAAAGTACGTGCTTATAATAGGTAAGATAGGGGCCAAGCTAACTGAAATTTAAATATTAGAAAGAAGTGTGATTATGCCTCTGGTCATTCTTAAGGTGTTTCACGGACTTGAGCCTTTGATTCCATCTCTCCATGGGTCCTGGTTTCTCAGACTCCAGAGAAACTGGAAACCAGCTCTGGGGTCTCTAGACCTTGCCTCAGATGTTTTGATGCACAGAATACAGACATGCACACTCACACCTAAACGTAGGCACAGGGACACACAGAAATGTGACCTTATTTGGTACCCCAAAGAGCACATAGCCAATAAGTATATGAAAAGATGCTTATCTTCACTGATAATCAAGTGCAAATTAAGACAACATTGAAATGTCTTTGCCTATCAGATTGACAGTTTTTTTTTTTTTTAGATTCACAAAGATTTAAAAGACTGATAATGTATACAGTTGGTGAGGGCTACAGGCTTTCTTACACATCTGGTGGGAGTAGAAGTTGGTACATTTTCGGGGGGCCACTTGGCAATATCTATCAGTATTTTACAACGGTCAACCTTAGACACAACAGTTCCACACCTAGCCATTTTTTATAAAAAATTTATTTATTTATTTGTTTATTTTTGGCTGCATTGAGTCTTCGTTGCTGCACGCGGGCTTTCTCTAGTTATGGCAAGCAGGGGCTACTCTTCCTTGCGGTGCACGGGCTTTTCATTGTGGTGGCTTCTTTTGTTGCAGAGCACAGGCGCTAGGCACGCGGGCTTCAGTAGTTTGGCACGTGGGCTCAGTAGTTGTGGCTCGCGGGCTCTAGAGCACAGGCTCAGTAGTTGTGGCACATGGGCTTAGTTGCTCCGTGGCATGTGGGATCTTCCCAGAGCAGGGCTCAAACCCGTGTCCCCTGCATTGACAGGCGGATTCTTAACCACTGTGCCACCAGGGAAGCCCCCTAGCCATTTTTTGTACAGTACTCATCCTGGTGATTAAAGATCCAGGTCTGGAATTGTTCACTACCTTCATTTAATTTTTTAAAAATTTATTTGTTTATTTTTGGCTGCCTTGGGTCTTCGTTGCAGCATGCAGGCTTTCTCTAGTTGCGGTGAGCGGGGGCTACTCCTCGTTACAGTGCACAGACTTCCCATTGCAGTGGCTTCTCTTGTTGAGGAGCATGGGCTCTAGGCACCCAGGCTCAGTAGTTGTGGCTCACTGGCTCTAGAGCACAGGCTCAGTAGTTGTGGTGCATGGGCTTAGTTGCTTTGTGGCATGTGGGATCCTCCCAGACCACAGCCCGAACCCGTGTCCCCTGCATTGACAGGTGGATTCTTAACCAGTGCACCACCAGGGAAGTTCCTACCTTCATTTAGAATAGCATGTAGCATATATACACCTGAAACTAATATGATAGCGTCAGTTATATATATGACAGTTAAATTGAAATAGCGTATGTGGGTAACAATCCAAATGTCCATCAGCAGGATTATTAAACCATGGCCTGTACCACCAGTAAAGGCGTGAGGTAGGTTTTCATGTAGTTCCTTAGAAAGATTTTGAAAAGAGCCAGAGCAGCAAGGAGGCCGCAAAGCTCAGAGTGAGGAACGAGGCCATTAAATGTGCATTTGTTGGAGCTTAGACGTGGTCTGGAGGGACTTGTGCCTAACTTCATACAGGGGCTGCCTCTCTGAGGTCAAAGGGGACTCCCATTTTTTATTTCCTTCCTGAACTGAGACTGCAGTACTTTTATGTTTGACACCCCCTCCACCCACCCCAGTGCTCACGGATCGCCTGAGCTGCACCTCCCAGAAAGCCTAGGAAAGGAGACCTGCTCTGTGCCTGGTCAGGGTTCTCACCTCCCGGCGCTAATTTAATACATCTCACTGGTGTTTCTTGAGAGGAACATGGTGGACAGTCATCCGCCAATCAATGGATGGGTCACCACAGTCCACGTTCAGCAACTTTTCTGTTCCTGAGGAGTGAAAGGTAGAATTTATGACTGGGATGATGGTCGCCTGTCATCCCCACTTGGGACAGCTGCTCAGCTCTGCGCTCGTGGTTTCAGTTGTGGGTGGCCTATGTCAGCATGCCGTGAGACGCTCACGTCACCGGGCGGTGCAGTTATCTCCTGAATCAGGCTGAGGGACTTGCTGCAAACGCAGGGGTGGTAGGGCAACAAGTCACCTCCAGGGCTGCAGGGTTGGGGGCCAGTCAGACTTGCCATGGGACCTAGCAGATGCGTCTGGGAAGGTGAGTCTGTAATCTGGGCTTCTCAACCACTCAGGTCAGCGTGAACTTTGCGGGACAGAGAGACTGGTGGCCTGCCATCCCGGGCCCCAGGAAGAGCCTGGGGGCCACACTTGGAGGAGAAGGGCGGAGGGCGTTTGGGCGGCCACCCTCATCTTACTGCCTTTGATGTCCTGGCCTTGGGCATCTCCCAGAGACAGCAGGATTGCAGTGCTAATCACAGGATGCTGGGCTGCCATTTCCAGGCCTGTAGGGGTCATGGGTGCCTCTGGGCAGAAAGAAGGGCTCTGAGCTTGTCAGGCAGTTTGTAGTTCCTGACCTTTGTGGGGACGAGTGAGCGGGAGTTCTGGGGCCAGGTGGTCTCAGCCGTGACAACCACAAGTGGAGCTGAGGCCCAGTCCTGAGGTTGGTAAAGCCCCTTCTCTCCCCGACACCTTTGGGGGGCTTTAGGACAGAAGAGGAGCTGGGAGTCTGTGGACTCCCCTTGGAGCTGTGGACGAGGCAGTGGGTGAGGGTGGGATTCTGGGAGGGTTACTCAGCTAAGCGAGGGAGGGGAGTAGAGGGTTCTGCTTGAATACTGTTTCAGAGCCCCCCAAGGGACCTAAGGCGGTAACACTGTCTACCCCAGGCAAGGGCGGGCCTGTGGGGAGGTTCAGGATGTGTTTCTTCAACAGTGAGGGGCTGGGTGCAGGGGATGCAGCATAAATCAGACAGGTTCTTGCCCTGGAGGAGCCAGATGCAGGGGCGGTGCCGGCTGAGCCTCGCTGCCAGGGCTGCAGGGGCAGCACGGGAAGAGCAGGGGCATCGTTTCCCCCCATTTAGCCCCAGGCCTGTGTCAGTGTCCTTCCAGCCCATCCCCATAGCCACTACCTGCCCTGCCCCCACCCCTGTCCTAAGCGGGCTGGGCCTGGCTCAGGGGTGTCTGCTCTGGCTGGGGAGACAGCCGGGGGACTCGGGGGCTTCATGAAGGCTCATCTCGCAGAAGGCAGCCGGGCAGAGGGGACAGTGAGGGCTCGTGCTGAGGGCCCTCAGGTCCTCTCTGTGCTCCTCCGACTTCCATCTTCAGACCTCCTCCTCCCTCTGCTCTGGGCCCCGCCCTCTGTGCCCCTGTCCACCTGAGGCCGCCCCTGGCTCAAGCCTGGCCTTTCCACGTCTCCTGGACATCCACCCCACTGAGGGGGGCGCCCGTCCAGCTCAGCCCTCTAGGAAGGCAGGCGGCAAGTGTGCCATGGAGCCTCCTCCCTCTTCCCCCTGCGCCTTCTCCGCGCTCTCCCCAGCTGGCCTTGACCTCTTCTGCTCCCTGCCCTTCCCAGGCAGGGTTGGCACCAGGCACCACCGTGGGAAGCAGAGTCCTCAGGCACTTCTGCCCCACAGCATCAGGTCCGACGGTGCTGGGGTCGCCCACCTGCGCACGTGGGGCCCAGAGCAGGAGTCGCCTGCTCCCATTTCCAGCCTCATTTCCTGGCTAGTCTCCGTCTCCCCCAGGTTCCAGCTGATTCTGGGGAGCCAGGACCTGGATTTCTTCCTCCTGCCCCAGCAGAGAGGACAGTGGTGGATAAGTGTGCATTTAAGCAGCAGCTTCCATTTCACCCCCCTCTGTGTCTGCCAGCTTCTGGGGTGGGCAGGGAGAGTAACAGGGTACCCCTCGCTCCCCATTAAAAATACAGACTCTATGTGAAAGGGGACAGAAAGTGGGTGCAGTAATTGCCATGAAGCCAGTCCGGAGGGCGTGCTGCGATGCACCAGCCCCATGACAGAGGCCTGCTCTGGCCGGGCAGTTTGCCTGGCAGCAGGTGAGCTCAGGGGAGCAAAGAGGCTGAGTCCTTCTGGAGACGTGGCCCTGCGCTGGCAGCGTCTGTAGGCCCCGAGGCAGGGGTCCAGTGCACGGCAGCCCATGACTTCATGTTGAACCGGGAAACCAGGGCAGGCAAGCTGTGGGGACCAGTGGTCATTTGGGCCAGAGCTTGACCCAGAGGCCAGGGAGGAGATGGGGTCCTGAGAAGGGGCCAGAGTGATTGTGTGCTGAAGGTCCTGATGGAAAGGGACGGTGCTGGGTGGACGTGTCAGCGAGGCTCCCAGCAGGATGGGAGGTGTAGTGGGCGGCTCTGCCCGAGGGCCCAGATTCTGGGTCCTGTCCTCCTGCCATCACAGTCGTCCCGTGACCTGGTCTTGTCTGAGCTGTGATTAGGCCTCCCTGGGGCCGTCCCAGTGCCTCTTCCAGGACCAGGGAGTAGTCAGGTGGGGTTTCTGCCCCACCTGGCCCAGTGTCTATTGCCAAGGATGGGGGCAGCCCTGCCTCAGTGTCGAGGCTCCCTGAGGAGAGAGACTGATGCCCCGGAGAGGGGGAAGCTCACGGGCTTGCGTGGAAGCTGGTGGGGCAAGTGCCCAGGCCAGGTGACCAGTGCCCCCAATCCTGCAAGTCTGGTGTCTCTGGGCCTCAGCCTCCTCGTCCATAGGAGGGTGGTGGCCCTGCCCGGCTCACTGTGTTTGGACAGAATTGTCGTGCAGAGGAAAAGCAGGGACCCTCCGCCTAGATGGCCTAGTTGCCGTGTGCCCTGCCCACCTCTCCCCAGGGTGGGCCTGGCCTGCTCTTCGCACAAGTGTCCCGTGTGGGTCTTGTCCTCCCCACGCCTGCCCCTGGGGCCGGCTGAGCTTGGAGCGCCCCAGTCCACGCTCCTGAGTCAGCCTGTGGCCGTGCCGGCCCAAGTCTCACAGATGCAGGTGTTCCTCCACTGCTGGGGCAGTGGCCATCCCCACTGTGGCCTGGGCCAGCTCTTAGCCGGGCAGTGGTGGCTGTGCCTGAGCCGCCCCCATCCTGGTGCTCCCTCTGACCCTGTCCTCATGTACCCTGAGAGCCAGCTGCTGCCAGGCTGCCTGTCTCCATCCAGTGGCCGCTGCAGCCTCTCCTGCTGTGGCTGGTTGTAGCAGGTGATGCTTCAGTCTAGGGAAGGGTGGGGTCTTCTTGACTGTTGGCCTTGACAGGGGTCCATCCTGTGGGTCCACAGAGAGGCTGCGGGGGGCGGGGTGGGAGGGTGTCTGCTACTGGGTGAGTGTGTGCGGGCTCCTGGAGCGCTTCCGTGCTGCGGTCTGTGCGTGCATGTCTGCTTCTCTTCTGTTTCCTTATCACTCATCAGGCTTGCATAACCAGGCTGGTCCTGCTTCCTGCAGAGGAGCTATCAGTGTACCATCTGGAGCTGCAAATGGGGTGACAGGGTGGCCTTTTCACCCCCAGGCGCTTCCCAGCACCCAGCCCCTGTCACCAGGGATCCTGGGGCTGACACCCCTGCACTGAGAGCCCTGCTCCCGGGGGCGCTCTCCTCTGCAGGGCACCTGGGGACAGGCGTGTGACAGACAGCGTGTGGGAGGTGTTGGCTGTCGCATGGACACCCCGCTGCCATCCTCCTCCATTTTCCTGGGGCAGAGCACCAGGATGGGAGCAGCTAGCTGTGTGACCCTGGGGTCAGCTCCCTTGTCAGTGATCAGGGACTGTCCCCCACCTCATGTGGCTCTGGTGGGAATTCGTGTGGGTGATGTGCCTCACACAGTCGGCCCAGGTGTGGGACCAGGGGGTCCAGCAGAGCTTCCCTGTGGTTGTTGCCCGTGACCCCATTCCCGCAACTGTGCCTCCCCTGCGGGAGGGGACCTGGGCCCAGGGATAGGGGGCCGGGCCCAGAGAGGTGCCCGCTGGGAAGACCTGGACACGTGGCTGAGTCAGAGTCCAGTGACACCGGGAGGCCTGAGCTGGAGGTTCTTGCCGGTGCTGCTTGGACAGCGGTGCTCAGCCTCCTTCACGGGACAGGGTGAGGGTGTAGGTGGTGACGCACTCGGAGTGCCCCTCACGGGAGCACCCACTGGGGCACTCCGCACACAGCCCCTCAGCCCAGCGTCTTCCAGGTTGGACCTTGCAGAGCGAGGTCCTGATGCGAGAGGTGGGCACCTGGCTCCTGACCTGCACCTGCATCTGCGCCTGGGTCGGCTTGGGCGTCTCTGTCCCAGGGGACGGAGGAGGTGAGGGCTGGCACTGTGTGTGTGGGGGGCTGTGGGGGCAGAGCTGGGGGCAGGGTTGCCCCCGTCAGGCTCCACGGGGAAGGGTTGGGTTTGGGCTGTGCAGGCACCTGTCTTCCTGAGATCAGCTTGCACGCTCAGAGCCCATCCCCTCGGGGTCTCCCAGCCTTGCCCGCGGTAACTTCTGGGCTCGTTCTCTGGGGCCTGCCCTGTCCGAGGGGTCAGCTGCCACACCCTCCCCCTCCCCCAGCCCTGCCCTGAAGCAGCCACTGTGGGCTTGCAAGGGTCACTGTTCCCAGGGCCTGGGACTTTCACGTGCCATACCAACAACATCCTCAGGATTGACTGCCACTGGTCTGCCCCAGAGCTGGGCCAGGGGACCGGCCCCTGGCTGCTCTTCACCAGGTGAGGCCGGAGGGCAGGGGGTAGAGGGCAGGGGTGAGGGTAGCGAGCTGGGCTGGTGCAGTGGCCCTTTGGTGCCGACACGTGCCCTTTCCAGCAACCACGCTCCAGGCAGCAAGCACAGGTGCATCTTCCGGGCCAGCGTGTGCACAGTGGAGCTGCCACCCGAGGAGGTGCTCGTGCCTTCTGACAACTTCACCATCACCTTCCACCGTCAGGTCTCTGGGAAGGAGCAGGTCAGCCTGGTGGATCCACAGTACCTGCCCCGGAGACATGGTGAGGCCTGGGTTGGTGCGTTGGCCGGGAGCATCCTGGCTACATCACCCCCACGGCCCAGTGAGTGCTCCCGGTCCCTGCTGACGGATCCAGGGCTAGGATCAGGCGGGGCCCCCGGGGAGGGGGAGGGTTTTGGAGGAGGATGAAGGTGCAGGGCTTTGAGTTGGGGCAGGAGCTGCAGTTTGAGTCACTGGCGATCTGCTTCAGTCACAGCAGGAAGGACTTCAGTAAGACACTAGGAAGAACTTCCAGCAGCAGCTTAGATTTGAAACTCAGCTTGTCTGGCTGCAGAGGCTGGAGGAAGTCATTGCTGTCTTGTCCCACCTGGGGCTTCTCTGGACCAGTTTTCCAGTGAGGACTCTGCTCTGAGAAGGCCTTGGCCACGTGCCCCAACCTTCCCGGGAATCTTTCCGATCCCCAGTCCTGGGCGTGCCGGCCCCCACACCGTTACACAGCTTCATTCTGTTTCAGTGAAGCTGGACCCTCCCTCTGACTTGCTGAGCAACATGAGTTCTGACCACTGCGTCCTGATCTGGAGCATCAGTCCTGCCTTGGAGCCACTGGCCTCACTCCTCAGCTACGAGCTGGCCTTCAAGAGGCAGGAGGAGACCTGGGAGGTAAGGCTGGGTCTGCCTACCCTGGGGGCCTCTCTCTTGGGAGCAGCAGCCAGGGTCACTCCTCGTCCCATCTAGGGTGGTGTCACCTTGGAATTGTGAGGAGGGAAGTGACCAGAGACAAGGGTAAGTGAGTGCAGGTGTGGTGAGTGTGCCTGTGTGTACGTGTGAGCGTTCACAGGGCGTGCCTGTGTGGATGAGTGTGCATGCATGTGGATGCATGTAAGTGTGTGGACACGTGTAAGTGTGCCCACGTGTGTGTGTACACGCCCTCGAGGGCTGATGGGCCCAGTCTCACCCCCAGCACCTCCTAACTGTTCTCCACCCCACAGCGGGCTCGGCACAAGGATCACATCATTGGGGTGACCTGGCTGAAACTTGAAGCCACTGAATTGGAGCCTGGTTCCACCTATGAGGCCCGGCTGCGTGTCCAGATGGCCACACCAGAGGACGCGGTGGCAGAGGAGGAGCGCTACGAGGGCCCATGGAGTGACTGGAGCCAGCCCGCCCACTTCCACTCCCCCCAGAGACAAGGTGGGCGCTGCTGCCTTCAGGGGCCTGGGTGGAGCCTCCCCGCCCCCTCACGTCCCACCCCTTCCCCCTCCTGGGACCCCCTCCCTCGTGGCCCAGTTGACTGCCTTCCCCTGGAGGTCTGTGTGAAGGGGAAACACCTGCCGAGTGCTGGGCCTCCCAGGGAGCTGCAGCTCCTGGTCTCCTTGGAGCGAGTGTGGCCCCAGCTGCACAGCAGGCTGGTGCTGCTGTCTCTGGAGCCTGGGCAGGGCCTTGTCTGCTTAGGGGGCTGGGCTGACCCTTGTGCACAGAGGTACTGGAAAGGATCTTGGACCCTGGTGATCTTATGGATGGGAAAGGCAGGGCCCAGAGGTGCGTGATTCACCCAGAGTACTCTCGGAGGTGTGACATAAACCTTCCATTTTGGCCCGAGGCGCCTGTCCAGGTGCTTTTGCCAGGTGAGCTTGGAGGAATACAGCCCTGGGCCCTTCCTGCTGTAGGTCTCCTGGTCCCAGCTTTGGGGCAGCGTGACAGCACCCTGGTCTCTGTGTCCATCTTTCTCCTGCTGACCGGCCTGACCTACCTGCTGTTCAAGCTATCACCCAGGTCTGTAGCCAAGGAGTGTGTGTGGGAGTGTGTGCATGTACATGAATGTGTTATTGTACATGTGGGTGTGAGAATTTGTATGTGCATGAGCATGTGTGTGCGTTTGTGGGTGTGGGGTACGCGGTGCATTGAGGGCTCAAACCCGCACCCCCTCCCCCAACGCTCCTGGGTGGGGAGGGGTTTTCAGGCCTCTGACCCGGACCAGTGGGGATGTCCCCAGTTGCCAGGTGCATGTGGGTGGTGGGCAGTGTGGCCCAAAAGAGCCCTGGAGGGACCCAAAGTCCCTGGGGCCGAGTCGCCTGAGGCCCTTGTCTCCTGCCTCTGGAGGTGCTTGGCGCTGGCTCATTTGCACAGTGGTTTTATGCAGACAGTGTTGGGCATCTGGTTTTCACGGGGCCCTGTTTCCCTCCCCAATGGGTGCCACGGATAACCAGATGAACAAAAAAGCCCTCCTGAAACAAGCCATCACACATGTCAACTTACGAGAGGGGGTACAAGGGGCCTCGTCCCGCAGGAGACCGGCCAGGTGTGGACGGGTAGCAGAGAGGATGAGAGGAGGTTGAACAGAGGCAGCCAGGGTGAGGGAGGGATGGGGTGCTGGGCAGGGCCCGATGGGTGGCCAAGAAGACCAGGGAGGGCTCAGGCTTGCCCTTGGGTCCCAGGAGAGCGCCTGAAGCCTGGTCTCGTGGGATGGGATCTGGTTTATGTTTTGAGAATGGAGTTTTGTGGTACAAGTGAGGAGGAGGACCTGCGGGGTGGCCAGGGGTGGGGTCCAGAGGGAGGCAATTGTGTGTGAGCTGGTGGGAGAGGCAGAGCTGGAGCAAAGTGCAGGGAGTGACAGGGTCTCAGGACGGGAAAGTGAGGGGACGTTGGGTGGATGCGATGTGACTGGTGGCCCCTGATGCCACCCTGGGGTGGGGAATCGGGACAGGCCCCCAGGGAGGCTGGCGAGGTTGATCTGGACTTGCTGGGTCGGAGTCTGGGGCGCTGTCCTCAGGGGAGGAGCAGTGGGTCTTGGGCGGGTAGATCCGGTGCTCGGGGAGAAGTCTGATGGGGTTCCCGGAAGTGCTGTCTCCCCCTCCGGCTGAAGACACAGCTGGTCACCCCCACCCCTGAACCTGCCATCACCACTCACCTTAAAGGGACCCATGTCTTGGTATAAATCAGTTCTGTGGGGTCATTAGCGAGGGGGCCACAGGTGCCAGGTGTCAGGCCTGGACCCAGCTAGAGGAGAGGGCAACAGTAGCACCGACGGGGCAGGGCTGGTCCCTGCTGCTTGGAAGGAGCCGCATTCCTGGCAGTGACCTCCTGGAGTCGGGCCTCTGACTGCTGTCTCCTGACCTCAGGATGAAGACAGCCTTGTACCAGGATGTGCCATCCCCAGGCCCGTTCTTCCAGTCCCTGTACAGTGTGCACAACGGGGACTTCCAGGTTCGTGACCCGGTGGGCCCGGGGTGCCCAGATGTCTGGACTGCCCAGGGTGTGGGCTCTGGGTGAGGTTGGGGGCCTCTGTCAGGGCTTTGAGCTTTTTTGCTATATATAGTGGTAAGTATAGTATATATGTAGTATATGTACGCACTGTGACTCAAAGGGGCCAAAAACAAATTAGCTTTATTCTCTATTGCCGAGTTCTTTTTCTTCTCATGTCTCTGATTCCATTGCTGATGGGAAAAACTGTAAAGTTTCTCATGACATTATCTCTGCCTCTTCTGGTTTGCGGCAGCCCTTGGAGGTAAATGGTCAGTTCAAGGTGCCAGCTCAGGGGGCTGTCTGCACCTGAAGGCATCTGTGTCTTGTGCCACCCCTGGGGCCCTCCCTGGTCCCTGGGCTACTCTGGTGGCTGTCATGGAGTGCCTGGCCCCTCCCGGCCCCCTGGGTAGCGATGAGTTGACCCTACACCACCCCCGCATCGTGTTGCCCTGGTGGGCTCTCACAGGCTGCGACACTGAGAACAGCCTGGAGGCCCCGTTGGACCCTCCCTGCTGGCCTGGTAGTTCCTGCCCCACAGGCAGGAGGAGGGGAGGAGGAGCTCCAATGGGTGGTCTCTGGTCCCCACCTTCTTGGGCCCCTCATTTTGGGCAGAGGATGGAGGTGGTGTTGCCCAGGTTCTCCCACACCAGCTCTGCGTGGCTGCCTTCCACCTGGCTCTTTTCTCTCTTAACAGGGAGTCTAGTTTTCAAGCTTGTCATCCAAAAATATAATTTGAAGCTTAAAGCCGAGCACTTTGTCAGGGCTGCATGGGGAGTAAATGTTCTGATGCCCTGCACTCATCTTCTGGGCTGCAGGCACCCAGCCCCTTCTCTGTAGAACCACAGCACCTGTCAGGGGTTAGTTAGACCCCTTGGGAGGTGCTCTGGAGCCACGGGCTGGCTCTCCAGAGGGCAGGACAATGATGGAAGGTGTGGTGTGTGGTGCACTCAATGGAGACTCCTGGTCCCACCTAGGAAACAGCTTCCTTTTTTTTTTTTTAAATTCTTTTCCATTATGGTTTATCATAGGGTATTGAATATAGTTCCCTGTGCTATACAGTAGGACCTTGTTGTTTATCCATCCTATATACACTAGTTTGCATCTACTAACCCCAAACTCCCAGTTCGTCCTACCCCCACCCCCTTGGCAACCACAAGCCTGTTCTCTATGTATGTGAGTCTGTTCTCTATGTCTGTGAGTCTGTTTCTGTTTTGTAGATAAGTTCATTTGTGTCATATTTTAGATTCCACATGTAAGTGATATCATATGGTATTTGTCTTTCTCTTTCTGACTCATCTCACTTAGCATGATAATCTCTAGTTGCATCCATGTTGCTGCAAATGGCATTATTTCATTCTTTTTTATGGCTGAGTAGTATTCCATTGTATGTATATACCACATCTTCTTTATCCATTCATCTGTTGATGGACATTTAGGTTGTTTCCATGTCTTGGCTATTGTGAATTGTGCTGCTATGAACATAGGGGTGCATGTATCTTTTTGCATTAGAATTTTGTCTGGATAGATGCCCAGGAGTGGGATTGCTGGGTCATATGGTAGCTCTGTTTTTAAATTTTTAAAGAAACATCCATACTGCACCAACATACAGTCCCACCAGCAGTAAAGGATGGTTCCCTTTTCTCCACACCCTCTCCAGCATTTGTTATTTGTGGAGTTTTTAGTGATGGCCATTCTGACCGGTGTGAGGTGGTAGCTCATTGTAGTTTTTTTTTCTTTTTTTTGCAGTACGCGGGCCTCTCACTGTTGTGGCCTCTCCCCTTGCGGAGCACAGGCTCCGGACGCGCAGGCTCAGCAGCCATGGTTCACGGGCCAGCCGCTTCGCGGCATGTGGGATCTTCCTGGACCGGGGCACAAACCCGTGTCCCCTGCATCGGCAGGCGGACTCTCAACCACTGCGCCACCAGGGAAGCCCACTCATTGTAGTTTTGATTTGCATTTCTCTAATAATTAGTGATGTTGACCTTTTCACGTGCCTCTTGGCCATTTGTATTTCTTCTTTGGAGAAATGCCTATTTAGGTCTTCTGCTCATTTTTCGATTGGATTTCCTTTTGTTATTGACTTGTATGAGCTGTCTGTATATTTTGGAAATTAAGCCCTCATCTGTCACATCATTTGCAAATATTTTCTCCCATTCTGTAGGTTGTCTTTTCGTTTTGTTTATGGTTTCCTTTGCTGTGCAAAAGCTTATAAGTTTGATTAGGTCCCATTTGTTTATTTTGTTTTTATTTCTGTTGCCTTGGGAGACCAACCTATGAAAACACTGGTATGATTTATGTCAGAGAATGTTTTGCCTGTGCTCTTTTCTAGTTTTATGGTGTCCTGTCTTGTGTTGAAGTCTTTAAGCTATTTTGAGTTTATTTTTGTGTATGGTGTGAGGGTGTGTTCTAACATCATTGACTTACATGCAGGAACATCTTCCTTTTGGAGGTAGTGGGCCTCCTGTGGCCCCACAGAGGGTCCAGGTCTGCTGGCCTTGGCCCCAAGGTACCAGGCCCAACAGCACCTCCTGTGTGTGCGTGCGTGTGTGCGTGTAGTGGGGTTTGGGTGAGGGTGCTGGGCTCTGCAGCTGCTGGCAATGTGTGAGGCAGCAGTGTCTTCAGCCCTGTCACAATCTGTACCCTGGTTCAGACCTCTGTGAGCACAGGCCTGTGCTGGGAGCCAGGGGAGGGTCCTGAAGGAAATGGGGGTTCTGTGTTGAGGCTGGGCTGGCCCATGGGGGGAAGACAGAATGTTCTGGGCACAGGTACTCTTGGCCTCTGGGAGTGGATGTCTGGAGAGCTTCCTGGAGGAGGGGAGGCTGCTCCCACAGTGAGTCCTGAACACACTGCCTAAGGCCTTCCCTCCTCTCGGTGCTCTGTTCCAGACCTGGATAGGGGCCCACAGAGCTGGTCCACAGCCAAGCCCGGACTGCACGGGCCCCGCACAAGGAGCCTGGGAGACCCGTGTCCGGGAGGCCATCGCTTTGCTCACCTATGACCCGGTGGATGTGGGGCCGTTAGCGGGCCTGGAGGAGGAGGGGAGCACTGGCACCGGCCTCCCAGCAGATGTGCTGCCCACAGGATGTGTGGAGTGGGGGGGGCCGCCGCCCGCCTACCTGCCACAGGAGGCCTGGGCCCCCGCAGGCCCTACCAGGCTGGCTCCCCCGCAGTCCCAGGGCAGCAGCAGCGACTACTGTGCCCTGGGCTGCTCCAGGTGGGGCTGCCCCTCCACCTTCACAGGAAGCGCGCAGAGCTCTGAGCCCGACCCTGCCTTGGCCTGTGGCCCTTTCTGTGACCAGCAGAGCCTGGGTGCCCGGCCAGGAGGTAACTGTGCAGGCGTTGGTCACAGTCAGAGGCAGGACGCTGGTGGATGGGCCGCATGAGAATCTGCTCGCGGCAGACCGTGGGCTCCATCCCCATGGTGCTGCAGCATGTCCATCCTGGGGAACATGAAGCAAAGTCCCTGGAGCCAACACTTGACTGGCACTGGACCTGCGGAGGGCCACCCATGCAGCCGTCAGATGTCTAGTCCGGGTGGAGGCAGGAGGCTCTCCCCTCCTCCCCTCCCTCTGCATCTGTCGGGAGGGGGCTCTGCCCTCAGCATCCTGTCATCCTGGCCCCCCGTCCACCACTTCCCTCCCCGCTTCCTGGCTTAACCCCAGGGCCCACAGCCAGTTCTGCCTTCAGTCCCTTAAAGGGCCAGCCTGGGCCCCGTGGACACAGGTGAGACACCGTGACCAGGCCTAGTGTCCTGTTTCTGTGCCTTCCTGAGGTCTCTCCCCTACTGAGATTAAAAGGGACATAGCAGCTGTTTCAAACTGCTGATGGCTGGGAGAGGGGCCCAGAGGACATAGGAAGGGTGGCGTCTGGCTAGTCCTGAGCTTTCTGTGCTCCACGAATAGCAGGGGGAGGCTCAGCGACCAGCTCCAGGGAGGCCACCTCCCCACCCCTCCTTGTCGGCCCCTGGGGGCTGAGTGCTGTGGCCAGAGTGACCACCCAGCAGTGGTCTTCGCCTCTGAAGGACCCTGCCTCTACCCCCACCCCCGCGGTCTGGAGAGAGGGGGACAGAGCAGAGGGCGCCTATGTCCGTCCCTTAGGGCTGCCGTAACGAAGTCCCACAAACTAGGTGGCTTAGAACAACAGAGATTTATTGTCTCACAGTTCTGGAGACTGGAAGCATGACATCTAGGTGTTGGCAGGGCCGTGAGGGCACCAGGGAGGATCTGATTCAGGGTTCCATGCACCTCTGGTAGTTTCTGGCTTGGGACAGCGCAGCTCCAGTCCTCACAAGGTGTTTTCCCTCTGTGTGTTCCTGTCCAAAGCCCCTCTTTTTATACCAATGTAATCATAGTGGATTAGGGCCAACCTGAATGACTTTATTTTGGCTGGATTATCTGCAAAGACCTTATTTCCATATACGGTCATGTTCACATGTACTGGGGGTTAGGACTTCAACATATGAATTTCTGGGCAGTACCCCTGCCAGCCATGTCCACCTCCCTGCTGGCCTGAGGCGCTGTGGTCCCTCCTGGGGCAGCCCCGTCATTCTTACTCGGGGCCTCGGGCAGGAGACCCTGTCCCGCCGCCGGGCTGCGGGACTTGGGTCTGGTGCTGGGGTCCTCCACCCAGTGAGGGCTGGACCAAGGCTGTCCTGGCGTTGGAGGTGCTGAAGTACTGAATGTGGGATAGATGGAGGTTTGTCTCCCTGGGTGCTGGGGCTCCAGGGTCCCCTGCAGCCTGAGCAGAGAGGAGCACATGCAGCCCCAGGCCCCCGAAGGCAAAGGTCCCTCTGGCTCGGACAGGCCTCCCCCTCCCCTCTGTGTGCCTGTGGAGCCCTGAGGTTTTGCGGGGGCCGCAGCAGAGCCAGATCCTCATCAGCAGGGATGAAGAGGACCCCGCATGTATTTTTAGTATCCAGAGAGCGGAGGGGTGTAGATGGAAATGAGGTGCAGGCACCATCCGCTCTAACCAAGGGTAAAAATACCAGCGTGACTCCACTTCCTGGAGCCAACCCTGGAACCCCCAGCTGCTGTGTATATGACAGCAGCTGCATGGCTCCTGTGGCTTCACGTGGACTTGGGCCCCCATGGGATTCCACACCCGGGGACAGTGTTCGTTTGACTAACACACTCAGTCCTGGTGGCGCCTGAGTGAGGAGCTACTCAGAGGCCGGTGGTTGTAGGTGAGCTGCGCCCGCCCCTCAGGACACAGGCCTGGCAGTACCTGAGCCAGGTGCCTGCATGTCGTGGGGCTCAGAAAATGCTAATTTCCACTTATTCCGACGAGACGACCCTTGGAAACCGCACGCTGAGATCGCAACGTTCGAAAGACCCCATGAGCCCTGGTGAGGGGTCGCTGATCCCCAGGTGTCTAGGAAGGAGTCAGAGAAGGTGGTCTGGGACTCGATGAGGAAGCTGCTGGTGGAGGAGCTGAGTGCACAGTGTGGCTGGAGCACAAAGGTCCAAAATGTGGCTGGACCAGGGAAGACCTTGGAGGCCAGGCCAGGGCAGGGTGAGGGGAGCAAACTCACCCTGCTCAGGGGAGGCTGCAGGATGCTTTCTCTTTCTTTGGCTTTTGATGAGGTGAAGTTTACATAGTACGAAAGTGACCATTTTAAAGTGTACAATTCAGTGACAGTTTAGTACATCTGTAATATTTGCAACTGTCACCTCTGTCTAGTTCCAAAACATTTCCACCCTCCAAAGGGAAATCCCCTGCCCCTTAAGCGGTCACTCTCTTCCCCACCCTCCCTCTGACCTCTCGCCACTACGAGTCCACTTTCTGTCTCTATGGATTTACCTACTGTGGATATTTCTTATAAATGGAGTCATATAACGCATGGCCTTTCGTGTTCATTTTTTTCTCCTAGCATAGTGTTTTTTAAAAAAATAAATTTATTGATTTAATTTATTTATTATTTTTGGCTGTGTTGGGTCTTCGTTGCTGCACGCGAGCTTTCTCTAGTTGCGGCGAGCGGGGGCTACTCTTTGTTGCTGCGCGCTATGGTAATTTTTTTTTTTTTTCATTTCGAATTCCAATTTGTCCCCTACATCATTGCTGATTGTCTTAGTCCGTCTGGGCTGCTATCACAAACTACCACAGATGGGGTGGCTTATAAGCAATAGCAATTTATGTCTCCCAGTTCTGGAGGCCGAAAGTCTGAGATCAGCGTGCCAGCCTGGTAGGGTGAGGGCTCGCTTTCTGGTGGCAGACTTCTCCTTGTATCTCACATGGAGGAAAGGGGCTAGGGTCTCCTTTACAAGGGCACTAATCCCATTCCTGAGTATTCCACCCTCATGACCTAATCACCTCCCAAAGGCTGCCCCTCCTACCACGATCACATGGGTGTTAGGATTCCCACCTGTGGATTTTGGGGGGACACAAACATTCCGACCATAGCACTGTGATATAGAAAATCAGTTGACTTTGGTTGACCTTCTGCTTTGCTTTTCCTTACCTGTATATTTTCTGATCAAGGCACAGGCTCTGCTTCACTTGGAATTTCTAAATTATGGCATTGAATAATCAGAACACTGAATTTCAGAGATTCACCAGGACTGTTGGAGGGGATGAACTGGCCACTGCTAAACTGTGAGTGGGGCGTGTTGGGCGCTGCATCCCGGAGGACACAGCTGGGATCGTGTTGGCAGCCCTGAGTTCGCAGTGGGGAGGTGTGGCGTCCTCCCAGGGATGTTAGTCTTCTACGCTTGTCTCTTGGACTCTGCCACATGGTGTATCTCTATTTCTCCTGGAGTATTTCAACAGGACTTATTTTATAAAAGCGTCCCTGCATGAAGGCTTTGGGCGCTCTTACTCATGGCACCCTGTGGTTCTTAAAGATTCAGGGCGTTTACGGGGAGAAGTCCCTGCAGAGAAAGAGGAGAAACTCTTGGGCCGTGGGGATGGCAGTCCTGTGTCCACCTGAAGGCCAGATGCCCCTGGGTTCTTGCCCTCAAGAGTGTTGTCATGGTCCTTTTTTGTTACAGTGTTAACACAGTTGAAAAAATAAATTGACATGCTGAAAAGTAGGTGTATTAAAACTCACAGCATTATTTAAGTTTAAATTTAATATTTAGACCCAAACCAGAATTTATTAAAAATGTACTTTTCTGGGGACATCCCTGGTGGTCCAGCAGTTAAGACTCCACACTCCCAATGCAAAGAGCCCAGGTTCAATCCCTGGTCAGGGAACTAGATCCCATGTGCATGCCACAACTAAGAGTGCACATGCTGCAACTAAGGAACCCTGGAGCCACAACTAAGGAGCCTGCCTGCCACAACTAAGACCCAGTGCAACCAAATAAATAAATCAATCTTAAAATAAAAAAGAGCCTGCCTGCTGCAACTAAATGATCCCACATGCTGCAACTAAGAGCCTGCATGCCACAACTAAAGATCCTGCATGCTGCAACTAAAGATCCTATGTGCTGAAACTAAGACCTGGCACAGCCAAATAAGTAAATAAATATTTTTTTAAAAAAAATTTACTTTTCTGGCTTTAATGGAAGTAATCTCATCAAGAAATTTTTTTTGATCAAGTCAAAATTTAATTGGCATCAAAGTTGTAATGGTACGTAAAATAATGTCTGTTTGGTAAAACGTTGACATCCTATATTAGATGAAATATGTAAGTACATCAAGCTTTGATATTAAAATCAGAATGTGTTAAAGGTCAATTAACATTCAGTTGTTAACTGTAAACCAATATTTTCCAATGGGAGCTTTTATATTTTCCTTACTTTACTGTCCATTTTGTCAATGTGTATTTTTACTATGAAATCACCCTTTTCCTCTGGGTTTAGAGTTTTGAAACCAAGCAGGACCCTGCAGGGCCTTTCCTGGGACAGAAACACCATCCTCCTTCTGTGTCCATGGCCTCTTGTTTGTAGAAAAGCTTTAGTCTCCTAGGCCTTCCCCAAGTTCCAAAGAACAGATTTAATCAGAGAAGGGAAAAATTCAGAGACAAAGGAAAACAGTCAGGCAAGACAAAATGAGAATAGTTTAGCCATTAAACAAAGTCAAGGACCTTTAATTCCTCCTCAAAGGCTAGAGATCATATTCTGAGCCATATCCTTTGAGCTGTTTTGCAGATACTGAGACCCCCACCAGGTGAAGAAGTCAACTGCATGTTGACCACAAGCACGTAGAGCCCAGACCTGTTAGAACCAGAAGGTTGGTGATGCTGACTCCCAGTTACCTCACCACCAACCAGTCAGAAGAATGTCCACGAGCCGATCACGTACCCCGCAACCCTCTCCCTTAACCTGTCTTTAAAAACTTTTCCCTGAAAGCCTTCGGGGAGTTTGGGCCTTTTGAGCATGAGC